GCCCCCTACCGACGGCCCCATTAATATCCGCTATTTATACTTCTTTCGTTACTCTACTTTCATCTATCGTTATTTATACTTTTATATTCAGATCGAAGAAACATTTTCTTCTAAATCCGTATTTACCTTTAGTTTCATCTTTAGCCGCTTCCTTCTCCTTGTCAGGCCCAGTTTGGCTGTTAGGTGGGGGAGGTGGGGGCGGCAGGAGTGGTCGCACTGACATGTCCATGTCGGGAGTCGAATACAGGAGCACGTCCCATGGAGACGCTAGGGCTTGCACGCCGAGGCATTTGCCACCTGTTGAACAAATTGATAAGAATAATATGTTTTGCGATGATTGTTTGTAATCATTTATAGTCTAATGCTATTTTATGTCCAGATATTTATAAGCTGTCTTTACAAATGGTAAGCGCTGATCATAAGCAGATACTTTTTGCATTTTGATAAAAAACTCAATGTCAGTCATACAGTTCATAATTTTAAAATATGTGTTATGATTTTGTTTATTATAACCTTTCCTCTATATTATACGATAGATAAGTATTTAAAAACTTTTTACCCAATACAAATACTACTTACTCTCTAGTTAACTTTTGCAAGTCTAAAATAAAATGTAAAACTCCAACAAGCTCCTTACCTAAATCCCCAAAAGCAGATTGTTCTCCAGTCCCCGCGAGTACCTCCACCGTGCCCTCGTCGAGGTGTATGGCGCGCACGGCGTGGTTGTTGGTGTCGCATACTGCCAACACGTTGCTGGACAGCCAGCACAGACCTTGAGGGGCGTTGAACTGGGCCTCGGTCAGTTCTGGGTAGGGTAGACAATTTTAGCATTTGAAAAAAGGTAAGTTCTAGTTATTTCTTGAATTGATTTTTTTATACATGAAACGAATACTGTGAATTTGAAACTAATGCTAACTAATGTATTTGGATGATATTCCCAAATGGTCTGCACCAATGAAAATATATTTTGCATAACGCGATTGGTTATAACCAAGAATGTTGTATCAGTCGCTTAAAAACATATTTTCGAACTTCCAACTAATCATATCTTTGTTTACAATCCTAGTATTCTTATACTATATCTTCATATGACAACATTAGTAGGCATTAAACAATAATATATTTTAAAACGTTGTGGAGTACTTACTGCCATCCTTGAAGCCAGCTTCCTTCCCCCCGACAATCCTTACGACGGCCCCCGCGCAGTCAGTGAGCAGCACGCGGTGGTGGCCGGTGTCTGAGATGGCCAGGAACGGCTCGTCGCCACGACCGCGGTAGAACGGGTTCAGGGCAAGCTGTGTGAAGTATCGGAACATTTTATTATAAGAACAATATTGTCGAGTAACAAATGCCAGCAAAAGCTTAACAATAATAAACTAAGGGCGGATGGGTCAAGGGCTTGATACAGAAGGCACCTCTCCTTGAAACGGCGCGCATTGTGAGGAGGTTTCTGTCTCTGAAGCCCTAACCACTGGTAACTTGGACCATGTTCCCGCTACTGGTCAGCTACTATTTAAAAAAAAAAATTATAAGTAATATTTAAAAATGTATTTTTAGAGAATTTAGGGTAATATTTTGTTTGTAAATTAATTCTACACGTGAATTACATACCATTTCTACATATTATTATTATGAAAAACATTACTAAACAACAGCTTGATATTTCTTGGGACACCAATACAGTGCCAAACAATTGTAATATAGCATGAACCAACCACTTTTTAAACTATCATGCTTCACAAAATTAGGCGGTAAAAACTGCTAGTGAGGTTGGGGTCTGCCATGTGAGTGTATGTTTTAATTAAGAAATAAAAATGATTGATTCAATATTCAGTACATACATACATAACTTCACGCCTGTCTCCCATGGGGGTAGGCAGAGACTAAGGAACGCCAATTACTACGATTCTTACATACCTCTTTCGCTTCATTAACAGTCATCAATCTTTTCAATATTCAGTATTACTAATATAATTTAATCCAGTACATACCTTGCTAGGGAAATACAAGATGGATTCCTCTTTATTTTTCAAATGGTTTGCCTGAGCCATGGGTAATGGAGTCGTAGATATGCGACTTCCGAAGTGCGCCAGCGCCATGCCCACATACCAAACCAATTCATCTTTATGACCTTCACCCGTTAGTATAAACAGGGGCTTATTACCAGGACCTGTAGACAGATACATTCAATTTAAAATATTGTCTATTTTTCTATAACTACTAAACTAAGGACTGTAAAGTTTGAATGCAAAAATGTTGCATCAGATAATTGCATAATATAAATATACAGTATCTATTCATAAAATAAACAATCAACACATAATTACTTATAATCATGAAGTTATGTCTTCATTCTTTTGAAAATTCAAGGAATTTGTACTTAAATTGAAGAGTCACTTTATATAGAATTTGAATAATCTGTGATTGGCTTAGCATTTAACATAATATTGAATGTTATTTCTTAATCATAATGACAATAAATTGCTGAGATATCTCTGTTGGTATGAGCTATTTTTAATACTAACAAGATAGCAACCATAACATATGCCTGTATGTTGACATATTATTAAATATTTGCAATAATTTCTATAATTGACTTATCAGATCACATAGAAAACACTAATACATTGTGTTATAATCTTGTTGCATTACCTGAGGTGTTAGTACGAGATTGTTTTACATTTAAATTAATTGAAATGCATATGCATTTGGCACTCTGATAGGTTGGTTCATTGGTTCCAGATTAATTAAAGTATCCTAGACAATCATAGAACTGATACTTTAGCTAAAACATACAGTCTATCCTAATACTGACACATAAAATCGTACCTAATATAAGTAGTGTGGGCCAGCACTTTATTCCGAGCGCATCCCACATGCAGCTGTCAGCATCATTCACTACAGGATGATGTATATTGTACCTTTGTACAGCTGCTAACACATTGGCTGATTCCTTCTCATTTGAAAACTTGGCACAGTGCACTCCTATCTGGAATATGAAACAGATCAGTCATTAGTTTGTTGCATATTACGCGAGTCCAAAGTGTGTGTGATAGTACACAAAATATTATTGCCTCTGCCTCTGCCTCATTGGCCGAGCGGTCGCAAGTGGGACCGCTGGGCATCCCCACTTCCCCAGACTCCAATCCTAAAATTCCTAATCCCCAAGAGGCCGACAACGCACTTGTAACGCCTCTGGTGTTCCGAGCGTCCATGGGCGATGCCAAATGATTAGCATCAGGGGATCCATCAGCTCGTTTGGGTCTCGGGTTTGATTTCCGGGTTGGGCAAGTGCCATAATGTGCACCTCTGCCTACCCCGTCGGGGATAAAAGCCGTGATGCTATGTTATGTTATGTAAATATTATCTATCTATGAAACTACTCCAGCTTTTATTGACTGTGGTCTACCTTAACTGAGGATTTGTCGTTAACAGTTTCATGTGGCGGTTAATATGTTGGAGTTGAGTAATTTCTTATGAAATTAAATCCAAATATAAATGCAGCAGTCAAAGTTCTTACACACCAGAGTTGTTACGTAAATGTTACTTATATAAATTAATATTTGTTCCTGGTTATTCTTTGCTTTCAAACAAAGTACTGTCACAGGAAGTCAACCCAAATCATGAAAACATAACTACATATATAATGTACCAGCTTCTGTCACCTGCTTCCATAGAATAAAAAGTAAGATATGTGTTATTCCAGACTATAATATACCCCTGTTCCAAAATTCATCTCGATTCCTTCAGCAATTGAGTGATTGAGTAATAAATATAAACACAAACTCACAATTTTTCACATTTATAAGCAAGATAAAACAATTATATAAATAATATGAGGGGTGACGGACTATTTGGTTTAAGCAACATTTTGAGCGATATTGAGTTATATATATATATTCGGAGTCAGCGAATTTTTCTCCGTCGAATATATATATAATAACTCAATGTCGCCCAAAATGACGCTTAAACCAAATAGTCAGTTATCCCTCGAATACATAATAACATTTTAAATACATACCACAACTAGACCACTCTCAACAGAATGCAGTTTCTCAATATGGGCCAGGTCGGGCAGCACATGGTAGCAGTTGATGCAGCAATAAGTCCAGAAATCCAATATCACAACTTTGTCAGAGCAATGTTGAGATAAAGATATTGCTTCAGACACATTTACCCATTCTAAATCTGAAAAATATATATTCTGTGAGGTAAATAAGTTCTCATACTTTTTGATGTATGTTTTCCTTACATACTGCTACTAGTTTAATTAATGTATATTTTATTCATGCAGTTCAATATTGTTGTGCCCTGATAAGCAAGAAATTACAGTTAGATAAATTAAACTTCTTAGTTTAGGAAACTTAGTTAATGACTGATAGAGTATTTGTTTTATATTTTTTATAAAACTTACTTTTCTTAAAGTCTTCAATCGGAGTAACTGTAGACCAAACTTTCTTGATATGGTTTGTAATTAGAGTATCGCGCTCAGTCTCACTTTGAACCTCCTTTATTGCCTCCGTTAAATCCATGCAAGATTGCGCAACAAAATCCAGCGGAGATGATTCCATTTTAAAAACTTATAAATGTTAAATTTACTATGATACGTAAATAAATTGTTTTTCTATTTTATTTTGTTCAAATCGCCTTCACCCGCTCGCAGTCTATTCAAAACAATTTGCCCGTAGATGACATTGACATTTGTCATTGGCAATGACATCTACGATGAGCTGTATTTTTTTATTTTTGTACGCTTAAATACCTATGAATATCCTTCCATGCCCATCAAATAAATTTGCTTAATTTTAAAAACTCTAAAAATACTATTATTTACAATACAAAAATCTAATAATCAAAAAAATTATTAATAATGGTCTTTACTCTATGAAATCCATAGACAGACAGAGAATCTTTCAATTTTCTATTTTTGACTTGACATTAATTGAAAAAATGACCGAATGAGTTTCTGTTTTCATTCAATTACCGTACTGAGTTGAGTACTGCTGATACCATTCATAGTTTACTTGTGTTTATTTGTCGGAAGGCGTACCTATTCGTGTTTATTTTTCTCGTGGTGTTTTTCTACTAACACACTTTAATATTATATTTCTTAGTTATTGTCATCAAATTATGATCGATAATGGATACCGTATTTGATATTTGTTATTTATCGTCAGACGGGAATAACGTCGAGCCTGATGATATTCCTCAGACAAAGGAGAGTGTATGGATCTTGGGGAAAAAATACAGCGCTATTCAGGGTACGTAAGAATTCAGAAGAACTGCTTACAATTCATGATTTATGCAAAGAAGATAATAATTGAATAAGCAAGGAGATTCATGACTATTGTTTATTATTTTTGTAGACTGTCATAATCATCTGTGCAAAACAATGATGTCGACGTATTTATTTTGCAGATTTGGACCGCATTAGACGAGACATCACTTCTATAATTTGGTGTACTTATAGAAAGGGATTTATTCCCATCGGCGACGAGGGTCTTACGTCTGACAAGGGATGGGGATGCATGCTTCGTTGTGGCCAAATGGTACTTGGAGTGGCGCTTGTAAGAGTACACCTATCAGCTGACTGGGTCTGGACCCCAGAGACAAGGTAAATTTTTTTTAATACATATTTATATTTAAGAACTCTGTTGCTCATAGTAGAAAATTATTGTTCTTTTCCTGTTACTACACAAGTCATGTTTCCTTAATAGTTTGTAATCAGATTTATTGCACATTTATTTATGCACAATTGCCTATTACACACTACTCAGTACATTGAACGTAATATATATTAATTAAGTTATAACATGAATGAGCCAACCATTGTGCCCTTATCAGTAATAGAAGTAGAGTAGAGCTAATCTGTTGTGGTAATTCTTTTACATAGTCTGTACAGTATCAAAATGAGTTCACTATTGATTTTAATATACCACAAGATTACTTATTTGCATTCGATAACCTTGGGAATTCATCATCATGTTTATCTTATATGTAACTAAAATTATCTTTGTATTTTGCAAATCATAGTGCATTCTAATACAATACATGTTTTTTTGAAATATCAGAAATACTTAATGAAAGTGCAGCAAACCAGATCGGCGGCTCATATCTATCTCAGAACCAATGGCAATTTGAGTAGACATCTTATGTAGTTCAATAATTTGGTAGTTCTAGGTGGAATTTAGAATGTTTTCTAGGAGTTTTGAAAATCGACGATTTTGTAGATTTTAATTTACTTTTTTCGATTTCCATTTTGCACCTGTGTATATGTGCGCCGCTCGCGCTGCCATATTGAAAAAATGGCGGCCACAAGCAGTTTGTTTTTTTACATTATCTCATTTCCTGTGCATTTTACGACAAAACCGTTAACTTCAAATAAACTACTTACAATTATCAATTACATTTTGGGAATATGGAGAAGTCGCCGATCAAAATTTTGCCTGGCTTATTTGTGATACACTTCTGTAAATTCATTGAAAGCATTTTCGTTTAACAATAACGACTATGACAATCGTTTGGTGCCCAAGACGAAATCTCCTATGTGCAGTTCATCAGAAACAGCTAACGCCCAGAGATTATGGCATGTTCTTAAAGTGTGTACCACAATCACATGAGCATTATACATATTTATACACACAACTATAAAAAAAAACGCGCCGTTTGCACTACTTTCACGTGGTGTGGAAATTATTTTTTTTTCCACAATGCTCATAAAAATGTACTTTTCGGTGCTCTGACGTCAAAAGTACTACACATATATTACAAAAAAGCTATCTAGACATAAATTGTCGAAAATTATGAGTAGTTTAATTTGAAAGAAGAAGAGAAATGAGATATTGTAAAAAACCTGTTTTTGCCGCCATTTTTCCAAGATGGCGACGCGAGCGGCGCGTGTACGCAAGAGTCCATCAAAATCTATAAAAATGCCGAATTTCAAAACTCCCCAAAAATTTTCCCGGTAAAATCCCCACATTTTCCTCCTTAATAATCAGACCGATGGAGTGAAAACCATGTTTAGGCTGAAATAGTGAAGGGCGCAATTTCAATTCAACAAACATATACAGAGGTCCCTGAAATCGACGATTAAATAGCACCAGGTGATCGGAAAGGTTCACACAGTTATCAGAAAAATATTGAAAAAATCCCAAGTCAGATAGTTTTTAAATTACACTGACTTCTGTGTTACCTATCCACGAAAAAGTACACCCTATGCCAGTCTTTTGACTCTTGTTGCTACAATTCTTTATTTTTTCGTCCGTATTTTTGCTAACGTTATCCTGAATAGTGCTTCAATATTATGGAATCATAAATTCTGAACCAACTGCTTTAGTTTATAAAAGAATAAAATTTTTGATTAACCAAGTATTCTCAATAAATTTTCACCTTAGGTTAAGTCACTGTACTGAAAAAGTTGTACTGCGAAAAAGTTGTACTGCGGTAGTATTGGCAAATTTCACCAAAGTTGGCGCATTTAAAAAGAACCAGTCGGTATACCAGTTCCTACATTACTACTTAAATTGGACACAAAAAATATTGCTCAACGAAAACCTTAGTGGATACGAGGTTTTTAAGTGCGCTTCGGGTATGCTAGAATAAATTTTAGTAAGCCCAAATAAATTGTTCGAAAAGGAATATTATTAAAAAAAAAAATTTTGTATATCTAAAAATATGTTTTTGATTTGGAATTTTTTAATCTTTTTCTGATAACTGTAGGAACCTTGTGGATCACCTGGTTCCATTATTTTGATCGTCGACTTCAGGGACACCTGTATATTATTTAATCTTATAGAAGTTGCATACAAAAATATACTAATTTAATCATATAATCTCATTTTCAGAGATCCTACTTACTTGAAGATAATTCAAAGGTTTGAAGAAAGAAAGCAAGCTCCCTACTCCATCCACCAGGTGGCGCTGATGGGAGCTTCGGAAGGAAAGCAAGTGGGCCAATGGTTTGGGCCCAATACTGTTGCACAAGTATTGAAGTAAGTTTTATTTTAATCTAAGTTTAATAGTATTCAAGGTAATTTATTAATTGTTTATTTAGCGAGGTTATAACAAAGTTTGAACCTTTGAACTTATTTGTCACTCACAAAGGATAGGATGTTTTACATAAAAGAATATACTTATGTTTGAAATAGTCTTTATTTATGCAACTATTCATTTGTCAAAATGAAATACATATTTTTTTGTTATTCTTTAAATATCAAGTGTGGGGGGACCCATGCTTCGGCACGAATGGGCCGGAGCATGGAGTGCACCAGAGTGTTACCACGGCCTCACATAAAACCGACGCGAAACAATGCTTGTTTTATGTTTGGTCGTATGAGTTATGGCCGGAGGCCCAATTACTACATTCCCTAAATCCCCAACAATCCTCAAATTAATAATCCCTAAAAGGCCGGCAACGCACTTGTAATGCTGGTGTTCCGGGTGTCCATGGGCGACACCGATTGCTTGCCATCAGATGACCAGTCAGCTCGTTTGTCGACTTATCCCCTAAAAAAAGTCAATAGAAAATTTTTGGTGAAAAGTTGCTCAAAATCATAATATGAATGACATTGATACGAATACAAGATAAAAGATATCTTCTACATGACAACAGAACTATCATAATAATTTGTTCACAAAGAACATCTTTCACAAACAATCTGTTTACTAACTGAACTGAATGATATTTGCACATGTCCATGTTTGTGAGAAGACAATAGGCATGGCGACTATTTTTTAATTTTTTGTCCGTCTTTTAGATATTTTAAAAATCTTCGATACGTATTTTTTCTTTTTTCTCGTATCCAAAAAAACATGTAGATATTTTGAGTTAAAATGACGCGTGACGTCACAATTAGGTACGATTTCTCCGTAAGTGGGACGTCAACACCCCCCACTCCCTAACTTTAATGCGGAATAACTACGTATTCTTCTGTTAATTTGATAAAACAAAAAATACGTGTCTGTTATTTTCGTGCGATCTTAATGACGGACTAATTACTTTTTTGATTTTTTTACCCTGTCGACACGCCTATTGTACAAATACAAACACAAATAAACCCATTCTCTACCAGTCAATTTCCTTTTTCCAATTTTCAACTTTATTGTTTTTATATTAAGTTGAATATCCAATGAAAAATATTGACAGATTGCAGCTGCGTCTGAGCTTACAATCTGTTGTAATGTTTGCTTCCTCGTGACTCAGCAATGTCTCACTCACTCCTTATATGTTTTGCTTGGAATCCAGCCAGTGTTAAGGAATGCCTCGATACTGCATCTGGAATCTTGTGCTGACATAAAAGAACAAAGAATTTTATGAATATTTTTTCTTTTGTTTATCATGAAGTAATTTACTCATGGTTAACCCTTTGACTGGCAAAATTAAACTGTTGAAGAGAATCCTCCGAAAGCGTCGGTCTCCCGATGACCTTCATGGCGTTTTAAATTTAGAACATGCTAACAGGTTTACAAGTTTGACTAGGTATTCTTAAATTATTTATTTTACTGTTGTATCCGAGGTCCACTTTTAAGCTCAGATAACCCACTTGAATAGGTAGTTAAGTTTTCATATTTTTTTAAGTATCACAAAATATATCATGTTGAAGAAGAATTACTCCATTTATCAAACATTCAGATCTTTTTAGGTTTTAATAATGTAAAATTAAAGTTTTTAAAGTTCTAATTCTGCCTCGTTTAGGAGCTACAAAATAACCCCCTTTAACAACATTACATATTTCTTTTTTTATTATTTATCAAGGGCAACAAACAGCAGTGTATTAAATATAACATATGAATGAATAAAATAATAGATTTAACAAATACACTCTTAACGACGTTGCCACAGATTACCATAAATCTACTCAACAATAACAATGAGACAAACTTAAAGCAAAGCAAAGAATTTCAATCATGATGACCCAGTTACATCAAGTAACACTTGTTCTTTTATTACAGGAAGCTGACAGTGTATGACAAGTGGAGCTCTCTTGTGATTCACGTGGCTTTAGATAATACTGTTGTTAAGGAGGATATATGTAAGTATAAATACAATATAAACTGAATAACTACAATATAGACTGCACGGTCGGTGCCGTGCCGCGTGCCATGGGTTCGATTCCCGCACGGAACAACACTTTGTGTGATCCATAAATTGTTGTTTCGGGTCCGGGTGTCATGTGAATTTGTATGTTGTAAAACAAACACAGGAGAAAATCCTACTGTGGGGCACCACTTAAAAATATATCTTTGTTTAATACCATGTCCAGTATTTTTTATTTGCACATGCAAAGAAATCTAAATTATGGAACCAGTAGTGGATTAAAAAGTCTAATCGTGAGTTGTAATAGACATAAAGATACAGACTTCAGTTTTATTGAGAATTCCGACTTCGTCCGCGAACAATGTGTTTTCTGTTTTATCTCATGGGAACTTTTAACCGGGATAAAAAGTATCCTATCACCTAAGTCAGCCCATAACCTGCGTGTATATCAAATTAAATCTAAATCGTTTCAAAATCTATTCTTCTAAGTCTATTATTAGTATTTTGTTTATATACTTATATGTATTTTTATTTTTTTATAATCTTTGTTTTGTGTGCTAATTGCCAAATAAATGTTTTTTTCTTTCTTTCTTTCTTCTTTCTTTCAGTAGTTTCATCGTGATTGATAGACAAACATCCAAAAACAGACATTTTCATAATATAATAGTAGGCCTACTATAACAAAATAGGTACTAACATAGTTTTAAGATTTTAATTTTTTTCTTACTTACCCCTTTGGATGTATCACTTATCCGAAATAAACATTATTTTACTAATTTATATTTATTATAATACAAGCTTTTATCCGCGGCTTCGCTCGCGTCACAAAAGGATAAAAAGCCAATGTGACATATACCAATACACACAGCGCCATCTATACCAATACTTTTGTTTTCCCTCGGGAATATCAAATTTTTTCGGGATAAAAGGTACCCTATTATTTAATCCGGACTTCTAACTATACATATGCAAAAATTCAAATCAATCGGTTTAGTAGTTATGGCGTGAAAGCGGAACAAACAAACAAACAAACTCACTTTCCGATTTATAATATTAGTAAGGATTAGTGTGATGAGCTTCTTTAAACAAAACTAGTTTTACTCATGGTGAAAAAAGTTATGACCAATTAATTAAAAATTTTAATTAGGTACAATCCTTTTTATAAGGTTTACAATTATTTATCTTCTGTTCCAGTACAGCAATGTGTCGTGAACAACGACAGAGGAGATTGTTCAGCGGCCCCGGACAGTCTGGTCACTGACTGGATGCCTCTACTGCTGATAGTGCCGCTCAGACTCGGACTTAGCGAAATAAACCCTATTTATATTGATGGATTGAAGGTAACCTTAATGTTTTAATACTACAGACTACGAATTTCTTCTGTTATGAATTTATATCTATTTCTATTTTATTTACTTTGGCTTCTGTGAACTTCGCCTTAGAACTAACTCGATATATTATGCTTCTTGCTTGATATTCTCGCGGAAATAAACTGTAAAAGCATTTGACAGATTTGTTTTCGCAGACTTCTCAGTACAGTAGGACTATTAACATAACCACATAACATAACATCACGCCTTTTATCCTCGAAGGGTTAGGCAGAGGTGCACATTACGGCACTTAATGCCACTGTAGAATGTAACACCCACTTTTCACTATTTATGTCATGAGTCCCATGTCCCAGGGGGTGAGCCTATTGGCATATACCGAGCACAGTTTCAGGCTCCGTGCTAATACTGAGATTTTTTTAAATCCCAGTAATACTTTGCTCTACCCGGGAATCGAACCCGAGACCCCTTGCCCGGCAGTCGCAATTGCAACCACTCGGCCAACAAGGCAGGCACTCCTTATTAACATAACTATCTTAACATATAATTAACATATAATTAGACTGCACGGTTGGTGCGGTGGCTGGGCAACCGGCTGCCGTGCAACGTGTCGCGGGTTCGATTCCCGCACGGGACAACACTTTGAGTGATCCACAAGTTGTTGTTTCGGGTCTGGGTGTCATTGTGTATGTGAACTTGTATGTTTGTAAACGCACCCACGACACAGGAGAAAATCCTAGTGTGGGGCAACGTTTTGATTAGAAAAAAAAAAGAATATAATATAGTAAGCACACTTCTCCTATCAATAAAATTATGATACTATAACAAGAGCTTTTTCTTTCAGATATGTTTTCAATGTCCTCAATCGATCGGCGTGATCGGTGGCAAGCCCAACCAAGCTCTGTACCTGGTGGGCTGCGTAGGAGACGAAGTTATTTACTTAGATCCCCACACCACACAGAGATCTGGTTTAGTTGAGGTAAAGTACCGTTGTTGAACTATCTTGCAACAGATGGCAGATAGCTTCATATTGAAACTTATACTTAGGTAACACCTATGTACACAATATCAACAGCCTATAAATGGCCACTGCTGATCAAAGCCTCTTCTCACACGGAGAAGGTTTGAACAGTAATCACCGCGCTCACTCAATGCGGGTTGGCGATTTCAAACTTATAATAAGAAATTATAAGTCCAGGAACTTATGATAAGAAATTATAAGTCTCGATTTCCTCTCGATGTTGTCCTTCACCGTTTGTCAGTAGTGTCTAAATAATCTTAGAAAGTACATATAACTTGGAAAACGTTAGACATTGGTACTTGCCGTTGGTAGGTTTTGAACCCACACCCTCATGTATGAGAAGCGGGCGTCTTAAATCTCCGGCCACCACGACGTCTTTATTACATTCATATGTACACATGAATGCAACAAAGAGTTTAAGTTTGAGCTACAGACCATATTAATGAAACATTCCACACTCGATTCTCATTTTTTTCTCGCATAAATCTATTTATTCATAATCATGTGATGTTTTTAACAAATTGTGTTTCTATTACAGACTAAAACGACTGACGAACAAAAAGAAATGGACTGGTCATATCATTGTAAATATGCTTCCCGAATACCCATGTTGGCGATGGACCCGTCCGTTGCTGTGGTGAGTTATAAATACATAAACAATGAAATAATCCTTGTCTTGGAATGTCATAGTACAGTATCTGTCACATAAGTGTATTTAAAGACTTCTATAATATTTTTATTACGCTCTTGTACTACTGATGTATTATTACGTTGAAACTTAAAATAAATAATTTTTACATTTCCAGTGCTTCCTGTGCCGAACAAAAAGAGATTTTGAAGAATTATGCGCTACCATAGAGACTAAACTGATGTGCGAAAGCCAACCATTATTCGAAACATGCGAGAAGAGACCGGCCCACTGGGGCCCGATGACTTCTGATATAGATCTACAAAATACTACATTATTTACAGGTAATTTTTACAGTAACTTTTCATTTTTGTACTCACTAGATGGTGCTAGTGGGCGTAATGATCGTTTAACACTATCACTCAGACTATTTAAAGTTAATTTATTTCAAGTTTTAGTTGAGTTATATTCAATAGATTTTATGTCTTTAGTGGCATTGACTCTTTAACATCCTTTTTGGTGTTAATTATTATTTTATTATCACTTTAGTCATTGCATGAAAACTGTTAGATGCGAATCTCTTACTAACGAGGCGATTAAGATTTTAATCATGCAGCGCACTATACTATGACATCACTAGTTTTTTGTATTACTTATTCTAGGTTGTATGTACACTCATGGACGCGAATCGTGATAAACTAATACTATTTTTATTTTTTTTCAGAATTTGAAGATGTCGACAGGCAGTTTGACGACTCAGATGATGAATTCGAGATACTGTGAAAGTTTCGTACAACTGAATAAAATGCAATTTATCACACAAATGTCTTAATGTAGATAATTATACTTTAATGTAATATTATATGCGAAGATACTCGTACTTATGTACTTGTTATAACTAACGTACTTGTTTAAGTTACCTACATTTTGGAATCGTTCATGCATTAGTAATAGTGCCTATGACTGGATAGTGTAAGCCGATACATTATTCTTTGCAGTGCCTTTAAAATTTATTGTGCAATTTATGTAAATAAACGCTACGAAAGTAAAGCTGATTCAATTGACATTCCTGTGAAAATTTGTGATAATCAGTGCATCTTATAGGCAACTTGTAGGGGTCAGGTTCATCTAGTCATAATTTAGATAGACTCGAAATATTAAAGCTGTATCACTAATGTCCATAACACACGGAGCATTTTTATACGCGCAAGAAGCGCGCGCTTTCGGCGCCCTAGACGCGCGCCCTAGTTCACGACCGCTCCGTGTACATTACAAGGTTGCGTTTGAATCTCGTATTAAGCGCGTATACGCGCGATGCGTACGCGCGTATAAAAATACGCCGTGTGCCATGGGCCTAAAACAAAACAATCATTACGAATGTATTTTATAATCATTACGTACATAGATTGAGTTTAAACTTCACTTCATTTCACGCATATAAGGTCCAAATAATTACATTAATTGCATAATACCTATATTCTGAATAGATTAGTTTTAGTTATTAAACACAGAGCCAATTATATGCCATTAGCATTAAGCTCTAGGTCTTAGTATAATACAATAATATCATGATGATAATGTATTTAAATATTGTGTTTTAAGAATTTTGTAACACGAAGGAATATGTGTTAAAATAATTTGTGTTATGTGTTTAGGATAAAGTTTTGTTACGAAGTTGGCTGAATGGCTGCAGCCTACCCAAATATTTTATATAAATAAACGTGTTTAAAATGTTTGTGGTCTTTTTTTATTTTTTTAATACACAATATACATTTAATAACAAACTTTGTTTTATGTACAATGCAACATAATCTCTTTCGGGACTAGACTAGACTTTCGATTGTATCTACCTATGTATCTTGTATCACTTATACCACGGGGAGTGTTCTGAGGAATTGTTTTGTCTGATACCTGCTGCGTCTTCGCCATCGTACCATACAACAGCATTTTTATCCCCATCATATGGATGGTTGGCAGGCCACAACTGTCCGCTTTTGCCGTAACTTTCCATCTAGCACATCTAACTGTGGAATGATCTGTCGTTGGCGGTATTTCCGAACCTATACGAACTTCAAGAAAGAGCGTATTTTTTTTAAGTGCCGGCAACGCACCTGTGACTCCTTTGGTGTTGCAGGTGTCTATGTGCGGCGCTGATTCGTCTGCTCGTTCGCCTCCTATTCCATAAAAAAATTGTCTAAGTACCTACATAGGTACCAGCTACAAGGTGAATTGACGTTGAAGGTCGCAAGTCGGTCCTATAAAACTAAGACTTTCTTACGGCCTCCAATTGTGATTAGTCGGGAGAATGGTTTGGTAAAAGATACATTTGTGACCTTTTAACCTTGGAGTCTCGATAAACCTAACATTTATAATGATGTGAAACACGTTCATATCTTTGTATTTGCTTATTACATATGTATCTACGTTGCGTATTATTAATAAGTAGGTTCCTGGAACTGGGGGTTCTGCTCCCTCCTCAGTACGTGTAATATTTTTACGCGTTTCACGGATCTTATGTAGGTATATAAAACGTTCAAATAATACTACAAATTTTACCTAACTATACTCTGCCTGCAATTGTGTAAAAAGTAAAGAATATTTCATCATCATCATTTCATGTTATTTAAAATTACTTCACTGTAACGAATATTGCATTAAAATTCGAATATTCAATCATTTTGGTAAATGCAATTATCGTATGTCGAATTTACGATTGATAAGGTATAACTTCATAAAAATCTAACGTAACTGGTGGAAACCAATTAAATAGTGGCTAACGGGTTGATTTTAAGTGAGAATCATTTGCTGGTACAAAATTACCTATAATATACCTCCGCACGCTGCATGTTGACCTGCCCAAAAGATGAATCATGAAAACATATCAACAGCCTATAAATGACCACTGCTGACCAAAGGCCTCTTCTCATATGGAGGTTTGACCAATAATCAACACGCTTGCTCAATGCGAGTTGGTGATTTCAAACTTATAATTAATAATTATAAAGTCCAGGTTTCCTCACGATATTTTCCTTCGCCGTTTGTCAATGATGTGTAAATAATCTTAGAAAGTACATATACCTCGGAAAGTCACATTGGTACTTGCTATTGGTAGGTTTCGAACCCGCACGCTCATGCATGAGAACATCTATCGCCCGTCTTAGACTTCCGAGCCACCAGATCAGACTACTTTTAATTAATTAATTGGGGTCATTGTTCAGCAATGGATTTTTTAAGGTTGAGACGTGATGATGACGATACACACTGTTGTATACGTAAGTAGGTACACGCACCGTTAGTTTACATGTTTACATTTAATGATTTGAACCCGCTACATGAACAGTCTGTGGTTGGCACGGCTTCAATTGATGACGTTGATTCAAAATTAATACTGACTTCACAGCTTTTTCTTAGACGCGCTGTTGATGATATATGCTGAGAGCATGCAGTGCTAACGGAACTTGAAAACTAAATTTACAAAAATGTAGATTAAAATAATAACAAGATTGTTTACGATACCATTTATTTTAATAAGTATTACGTACAATATTGTTATACTTTGGTAGGTACATCGGAGGCAAGCAGTAAGATAATTGGACACCATACATTAATAAACCTTTAAGGTTTGGTAGATTTACACATATAACATTGATTATGTACAAAAATACTACCTATAAATATGTTAAAATCACTACAAAATATTGGGTAACACAATAAGGGCATAATCCTTTCATTTGATAATTTTAGTAAACAACCACGTTATATGTCGTCGAGAAAACCAGATCATAACATACTATTTTAAATTCCAAATCATTTGGCACCTCACCTATTAAAATACAATGTTTTTCATTACCTGATCAATAACATAGGCTTCACTTATGTCGAATAGACAGTAGAATCTTTTGGCCCCAAAACGTGTAGTTTAAAAGATAGTAATACGTCATAGGCCGATAGGTACATCTTGTAAACAGTTTCTTTGTACTTAAAAATCGAACCTTATCGTTTTCTGTATAGATAGAATTACAAAAATATTTTGAATACGCAAATCTGGTGAATATGTTAATAAAGATTAAAAAATTATCTTTACTATGGTTTACTAATGAATAGTACTATGTGAGTATGTAACATGGTTATGAAGAGAAACAAAAATATATAACTAAGATTACATGACTAGCACCACAGGAAAATATGTACCAACAATTAACATTATATTTAAAGACCTTGCATACAAGCCACATCAAATGCAACAAGATATAAATACAGAATGAAGAGGTTCGTCTAGTATTCAAACTTTTGAAGATAAATAAAAACATTGTACCCATGTGCATGTCACAATAACAATAAAAAGTAATTACAGAGTCATTAACATCATTCTCTGGTAACATTTTATCACATAAAACAATAAAGTATTAAAACAACTCTCCATAGTATATTATGCATATGAATGATAAATGATGTCTGTATTTCATAGGAATTAATATCACTACATATATAATCAAAAAGATGTGTCAACAGGACAATATTATGTCAGGTAAATAACAAAACTTTACACTTAGAGCATTCAGTTTTAAAACTGTATCCACATCACAACCATCCATAAATTCAAAACTTTAGATTTTCAAAAATATGACCCTATACATTCAAAAATATAAATGACTCTCGTCTAAGTAATATATCATCTACTGGACGTAACTATATACAAAATTTTTATAATCTTAACAATAACATCAATATCGAATGATATAATCAATTTTACTTGGAAAATATGTTCATGTACATACATCTAGGTACATGGAGATGAAATAGTGGAATACATAATATAGAACTTGACAACATTTACTACACTAAAACAATCAGATTATTATGTAAATATGTATAAAGTAAGTAATTTAAAATGCAATTTAGTATTATTTATTATACAGACACTGCACCATACAACATCCCAAATATATGTTTGTTGTTTCGAACAATGTTTTATAAACATCATCAACAAAAAATGTTATGCAAAGAAACTTATTATTATTTCTCCTTTTAAAATAGCTTGTCTATTATTTAATTTATACCACTAAAAATGTATTATGCAAAGACAACAACAGTTAGTTACATTACTTTGTTATTCATAGGTACTATCATAGGAAAATGTTTGAAAAATCGTCAATTGATACAATTTTCGGACATTGTTTTTCTATAATAACTATCGTGAGACATACTAAATTAAGTAAAAACGCGGGTTACTCACGTGAATATACTGAGAAAAGCTCTACTAGTTTCGAACCACAGAGGGGTTCTTCCTCATGAGCAGCGTGCGCGGTCGCGGCGACGTCGCGCAGCTCACTGGCTGGCGTTGGCGCTCGCCTCGGTGTTGCCACCCGCGCTGCGAGCCTCTGTGGTTCGAAACTAGTAGAGCTTTTCTCAGTATATTCACGTGAGTAACCCGCGTTTTTACTTAACATTGTTTTTCGTTTATCAGTTAGTAAAAAATTCTTACAACTTTAGGGAATAATTTTATGTAAATCTTTCATAAGATGTAAGATTTTAGAATTTAACACTCTACATATATACCCCACTTTATTGAGAAACAGCTGCAAATACTTTGTTAGTTAGGAAATTGATGACTAAAACTGTGATGTTATCAACAGAACCTCTGTAGTACGCTTGTAGTGTTAGACTTTTAGCTCCATAATCAGGCTCATCGAGCCTTTCTTTAATGAATTTTACAGCTTCCTCATTTGAAAAGGTATCCCATAAGCCGTCAGAAGCAAGTACTAAGAACATAGGCTTGTGGTCATCAAGATTAAAAGTTAATATGTCAGGGTCAGCTATTACAAATTTCTTATCTTTCAAGGGGTAGTCTCCCATGGCGCGCGACGTCGCCAGGATACCTGCCACTCGCCACACTCCATTAAATGCTATGTAGCCACCTGCTGCCTCAATTCTTTTCTGTTCACGAACCTAAAATATAAATCATATAGTTAAATAAAATAATAATTAAACAGTTTGTGTATGTATGCATACAACCACATGGTTAATAGTAGATTAGAAAAATAGAAACTTTAAACTTTTAATTTTAATAGAATATCTCTGTTGTTAGTATTTAATAAGGCAATGGCAGTACCTAACTGGTGTTCTGGACAAAAACAGACATTCCACATATTAGTTAAACTACTGATAAAGCAATAAGTAATGATAAAACGTTATAGGTAATTACCTGTTGTGGTTTATGATCAAAGGATACAGGAATAGCATTGCCACGTGAATCGCACATCACTCCTCTAGAGTCGCCCACATTGGCCACGATGAGATGGTTTCCTTCCATCACTGCAAGCAGAGCTGTGGTACCCGCAACATTCATGGACCTCTTCGCTGCCTCCACAAGCAGCCTGTCTGCAGCCAGAACTTCGTCAGTCAACAATTTCCCATAATTAATCTTTCCTTTATCCACATAGCTGGTCAATGGTTTAACAACATTTCTCACTGGTTTAGCAGTTGGCCTAACCTCTCTAGTGATAGGCCTTGCTTTTGACAACTGAGCCAGGAGCTCCGGATCGGTTATTTCTTTCTTTGATGTATCATCAGCTGTACTCACAGATTTTTTAAAGCTAGACTTCCTATCGACAGTAATACTGTTTTCTTCTTTCTGATTAGGTTCCTCTGTCACCTCTATCACAGGAGGACTCAGTATCTTACCATCCTTGAATGCATGTAGCTCCACTATTTTGTTGTACAGGTTTTGAATGAGGTGGTCTTTTGCGTAGTTGGCGGCAAATTCACCTCCGTGTCCATCGAATATTGCGAACAGTGAGATCCCCGTATTGTTTATGTTTTCGTTGATAATAAATCGGTCTTCCATATGCATTCGTCTGCCTTTGATTGCGTAAGCAGCGCTAAGTGTTCCCTTTTGCTCCCAGCTTTGTTTATCGGCATCGGAGCCTTCCAAAATCTTCATCCGTTGTACTGCACTTATAGGGCTCATGGCTTGCGACAATCTGCTTAGCATAGTACGACTCCATAGCTCGATAGATTGTAAGTACATAAAAAATAATATTAGGGCTAGCGTGAACACTACAAATTCGGATCGTAGTAAATAAAGGCGCACCATCTTCCATAAATAGCTCACGGGAGTATCAAGCGGAACACTGCTAGTGAAACGTGACAAGATTTTCATGAACGAAAGATATGTTTGATATAAAACTCTATCTTCTAATTCGTCTTCCATGTCCTTGTCGTGTTTTCAATACTAACGTAAAACGCAATAAAAAGATTTTTATTAGTAGCACCTAAAGTGCACTCAGATTTTAATTCTTTTTGTGTATACCTACATTAAAATTTATATGTACATAAAAGCAAACTGCTCTATATAGTAGATTTTGACATGACATTTTGGTATAACTGTCACGACTGTCATCGTTCTTGTGCAAAACAATATCAACGACATAAAACATTAGATTCTATGTTATAGTTGTTTAAGTCTAAAATTGCTTAGCAGAATTAATTAGTAAAACGCATAGACAATTATATCCATAAAGATTTTACATTTTTTTGTAAGATTACTCAAACAAAAAAGAGACCTTTGCACTAAACCAAGGACTGATTAAATAAAAAAGCGGATATCTTATTCGTTTCCATTTCCTAACGTTGAAATACCACCACTATACTGGCTACTAAGGCACGCCACTCAATTTTGTTTAGTTCTGACTCTACAGATTCTTTGCAAAAAGGATGTTGAATTGTCCTTGCTTTGTAAAATGACCATTGATACGAATGATAATTCGAGTAGACTTTCAGTAATCGGGCGTTAATAACTTCTGGCATTATTCATTTAACTTCATTATCAATGAATTGTATATTCCACTTCTAACACAAGATATTTTGAATTTACAGAAGTATTTGGACAATATTTAGGATTGTTTTCATAACATCAACAGCCGGAAGACGTCCACTGCTGGACAAAGGCCTCCCCCTTGGCCCTCCACGTCGAACGACAACTCGCCACCCGCATCCACTGGCTCCCCGCAACTCTGGCGATGTCGTCGGTCCACCTAGCGGGAGGCCTGCCCACGCTTCGTCTTCCGGTCCGTGGTCTCCACTCAAGGACTTTCCTGGCCCATCTGCCGTCAGTCCTTCGAGCGACGTGGCCTGCCCATTGCCACTTTAGTCTGCAGATTTTGCGAGCTATGTCGGTAACTCTTGTTCTTTGGCGAATTTCCATATTTCGGATTTTGTCGCGCAAAGAAACCCCGAGCATAGCTCTCTCCATCGCACGCTGAGCGACTTTGAGCTTCTCCAGAAGGCCAGAGGTCAGGGACCACGTCTCGGTACCATATGTCATCACCGGCAACACACACTGGTTGAACATCCTGGTCTTTAGGCACTGAGGGATTTTCGATGAGAAGATTTCGCGTAACTTCCCGAACGCTGCCCATCCAAGTTGGATTCTTCGGGCGACCTCTTTGTCGAAATTGGACCTACCTAGCTGTATAATCTGCCCTAAGTATGTATAGTGGTCTACAACTTCGAGGATATCGTTCCCAACGATGACCGGTACAGGTGCAACATGGACGTTTGACATGATTTTGGTCTTGTCCATGTTCATTTTAAGACCCACCTGTTGGGAGACGATATTGAGGTCGCTGAGCATGGTGTTCAGATCCTCCAGCGATTCCGCCATGATGACTACATCATCGGCGAAGCGGAGGTGTGTGATGTATTCGCCATTGATATTGATACCCAGTCCACTCCAGTTTAAAAGCTTGAAAACGTCCTCCAATGCGTTGGTGAACAGTTTCGGAGAAATCACGTCTCCCTGTCTCACGCCTTTCTGCAATTGGATTGGTTCCGTGCTATCTTCCTGGAGTCGGATGCGCATGGTGGCGTTTCTATACAAACACTTTAGCACCTCGATATATCTGTAGTCGATATGGCATCGCTGGAGAGACTGCAGCACCGCCCAGGTCTCGATCGAATCAAAGGCTTTTTCATAGTCCACGAACGCCAAGCATAGTGGCAAGTTATACTCCTCAGTCTTCTGTATAACTTGCCGCAGCGTATGAATGTGGTCTATGGTGCTAAAGCTTTTCCGGAACCCGGCTTGTTCGGGAGGCTGGAAGTCATCACAACAACCTGCGTTCGAGACGGTTTTTGATGACCCTAGAAAACAGCTTATATACATGGCTCAGAAGCGAGATGGGTCTATAGTTCTTCAACAAGGAGTTGTCACCCTTCTTGAAGAACAGAACCACTACACTCTCTTGCCATTCTTTCGGCGTAGCTCCTTCGAGAATGACGGAATTGAATAGTTTCTGGAGGACTAAAAGTATCGGTTTTCCACCCGCTCGCAGAAGTTCTGTTGTGATTCCGTCATCACCCGGTGCCTTGTTATTTTTGAGCTGTCTGAGAGCCATCCTAATCTCATACAGGCTGATGTCTGGGATATCCTCGGTATAGTACCGTGTCGGTTTAGCTCTTGGATCCCGAGCTGTAACGACAATGGGTTGCCGTGTCGAGGTGTATAACTGTCCGTAGAACCTTTCAAGCATGAATAATTACAAGGATAAGGATAAATATATTGAATTTTTAAGAAAAGGGCATAAATAACCACCGCTGTAAACGATACCACTTCCTTCCTCTGGACATGAGGCGTCGTATTGGAGACATAACTATGCTTATGCGTATCGCAAATGGCCATATTGACTGTCCTGAACTTGTTGCAAAATTAGCATTGCGCACGAACCTAATGGGATTACGTCAGCGACCCATATTAAGTGTACCCTTCACACCGACTAACTACACGAAAAACGTTTTTTCAATAAGAAGTGCACTTGATTTTAATAGACTGTCTAAGGAATTTGACATCGACTTATTCTGCACCAGTGTAGTATCCTTGCGACATCAAATCGCACAAAACTTCTTCCATGGTTAACTTCTTTTTTTTTTTCTAATTATTCTTCTAACAATTAATATTATTTGTTCGTAATTAATTGTCTTCTGTACTATTTTTTTTTGTACCTTTTTGTTTTTTTTTTCTTTTTATCTATATGTGGAGGCTTGTAATTGGCAATTTGTCAATATTATACTCTTATAAAATCATTTTCTATGTATTAGTCTGTAAGCCTTCTTAAAATAAATAAAATAAAATAAAAAATAAATAAAATAAATAAAATAAAAATCATGTTATTTTATAAAATGTATTAAAACATGAAATTTAGATTACACTTCAGTAAGATTCAGGTTAAGTCTTGCTTTAAATTTCGTGACAGTTAACAATTTGCTTTAAAACTCATACCAAAGATACAGACATACAGTATATTTTACAATGAGTACAGACAGATGTCAGAAGGTCAATGTAGATTGACCTTCTGACAATTATACAGAAAGGAGTAGTCCTTTCTGTATAATTATTAGATTCTACTTTATTGCATTGATATAATGTCGAAAATCAAATGAAAAATTCAGATTGGAGTAAGTCGGCCGACCTGCCGTCTGTACCTGAAATATCTACCCACAACAGATAAAGTTGAATACAAATAACTTTTACTATTGTCGACGTTTTAGGAATAAATAGTTAACAAACATTAATCACACATAAATTGGTGTTACCAGTTTAAATAATCCAATAATTTAATTGTAAACATTTTCGAGCATCGGTAAGTTTAATGCTAGAACAGACACATGCACATCAAACTTATCCAATCTATCATTGCTTTATTAATTCTCGACTTTATTTTCAAATCATTAAGTTCGAATTTTGATGTGCTGGTGCCTGCACATACTAATTTAAAAATATTGACGACTTTAATTAGGAAGTAGTAAATTTTTTCTACGTGATAATGAATAATTTAACTACTTACATTATAATTTAGAAAAGTGTGATACTGTTTTGAGTACCTTGACAGTAAAGAGTTAATTTTTATGGCTGTCCTAATTTTAATAATAAATAATTTTTACAAGACGAATAAAGCAAGTTGAGTATGAGATTTAACTATCCACATAATAAATAAGTATGAAGAATTCCCTTCTACCAAATTATAAAGCTTTTTATTGTATAAATAAGCAATGGAATGGAGTATTATCGAGAAAGCTTAAGGACTTACAGTAGTGTTGCCTGGTGAAAAAAAATAATCTACGACATTTTAAATAAGTTTAATCTTGGGGCTATTTTAATATTTTTTCTTTAAGAAAAGTTACATAAAGCCTCCAAGTAGATATGACTTACTAGTGTTTTATTTATTTCCTCCAAGCACTTTATAGTAAGAGTAAATTGTAGTATAGTATTAAGAATTAAAACTACCACGGTTGTCTATCATGATGTAGACAACTAATAATAAATTTTTCATAGATTTATTTTTTCAAATTTTATTTTATTTCGGTAATGCAGGCAAGCAATAGTGCACGCAAAAAGGTTTTTAGTTTAATATAATCTGTCTACGTTATGATGATAAAATACTCGAATAAAATTTTAGATCCATAGTGAATGAAATATCTAAAGAGTTTTTATACCGATGCTTGACATGAGAGATAGATTTAAATATTTATTATTTAAATATATAGTATTATTTATAATACTGAGCTAAATATATTTAAGTGACTTATGAAACCGTGGTAGTTGGTACAAAGCGCAAAGACTGCAGCGCCATCTACAGCTAAAGGAAGCCTTAATACGACAAACAACAAAATAAATTAAACGGACGTATAACTTGCGTAATAAACTTTGTTTACACAAATTAATAAAACAGTACCTAACTGAACATTAAAATTCTGATATAAAAATAAAAAAAATGTTATCATAATCCTCTTAATATGCCTAACGCCTGGTTTGATTTTGTGATTTATAAAAAAATCAAAGAATAAGAAAACATCTACCATTTAAAGGGTCTCCATGAAATCGCAAATAAATTTTTCATTGCACATTTTTGATATTCAAGCATAGTACTAACGAAAATTGATCCGAAACTTTGCTAGATAACTTACTTACTTATAACAAATATTTAAGAAAATAATTTAAAAAAATAAGAGAACATCGATTTACCGAGACCCTTTAAAATACCAAAAACAAAGTTCAGGTACCGATCATAAAAAAGAAATAACAAATAGGTGGTATAGTGAGCGAGTCAATACAGTTTAACTAGAATCTGTCAAGCGAGTCAAGCTGAAAACTTATTGATTGCTTTTTTTATTTATTTCAATTATTTTTTTATCTAAAATTCAAGTATCAATAAGTTTTCAGCATGCCATACCAGTGATGACACAGCTGAAAGATTTTTATTTTGCCGCCTTTTTCATGGGACTGGACTCGCTTGACAGACTATGTAAAAAATTCACACAAGTATTTTGTTCTACGTACGAAATCTTACAATGTACACAATTATACATAGGGTAGGTAATTTTTAGTAATCAGAGACGTTTTTACAGCATTCACACACGCCTAAAAGTTGATTAGTGTGCGTAGAATTTGATTAATGTATTTCTAATATAGATTCACGTTTTTTTTCTTTGCATGAAAATTTCCGCGATTATATTGTGAGGCGTTTTATTGTGGCCTGTGATCATATTATAGTCAAAAATTTTTGCGAATACTGTCATGGATACCTATGTAAAATTGGAAGATGCGAATGCTGTCCGTTCCCAGAATATTTATCATGACATTTAAGTTATAAAAACGTTACAAGGAACTACTTTACGATTTCTTCATTTTATTTCAACAAATAAAAAAATGCAACTATTTCTAGCGATCGATAAAGTAAATTTTTAAAATCGATGAACGCACCAATCGATACTTTTCCTTTTGAGAAGGAAGGGAAGTTTAAGTAATTGGTCGTTAGGGTATCAAACCGGGATAAAACTGCTTAAAACTAGTTTATCTAAGAATGGCATTAGTAGCAAACAGCCGTTCACTATGACTTGTAACTCTTAGGTCTTTCTAATAAGGGTCAAAATCCTAGTTTATATCGATATTTGTGCTCATTACATACTATACTCTGTTCATTTTAGGACGACTCAAATGGCAATTACGGAAAATAGTCTTCCGTTATTTTTTAACATGACTCAGCATGATTTGTTCAAGAAAATATATTTTAAGATTTAATTCTCAATACACGCACATTGTAATGTTCATATGCATTTTTTTCCATATGATCGTGTTTTTCTTGATAGATAATAATAACAACTAGAAACGATTTCACCTTACAACACCCCACAATTATGTTAGACACCATTAGAATAGGACGTTAGCCTAACCAAACAATGGTCAAACTATAGCCTCTACATTTTCTAAGAACTTCGAAATCGAAAGAAATCGATTAAGATCGAAATTCGACACCTCATCACCGATTGCTTTACATATCCTTATCGCTACCAATAGCCTTACCTTACAATGAGAGAAATTGTACAATACACGACATACATTTTTAACCAACTCCTATAAAGAAATAAGTTCTTAATCGGATTTTGTTTTTCTTTCTAAGCTTTAAACATCAGAGAGCATCAGAGTTCGAGTTTGTAGGCGTTCTGATTGGCTGGCTCCAATGAACCAACCAACCCGGGTCTGAACGCGGTCTCGTTTTGATCCCGTTAAACTTTAAGACACCCGTAAGCCCACTGGTCTCCCGAGCGTACGGCGTATCGCGTTCCGCGCGCGCCTCAAAGAGCCATCAGACCACCACGGATGGGGCCCAATAGGGCTGATGCCGATACGGAGCTGCGGAGAACCTAACGGGTTACCGGGGCTCCAGCTCGAAGTGCAGGATTAGGAACGGGGTTGTTTTTAGTCAGTAAGAGTCTAACACTTCTTCACGCCTCACCCAGGCGGGAGCAGACATTCGATGATTTCCCCCCCATAAAAAAGCCCCTGGTCTTCTAAGCCCCGAAGATTTAGACGGAATTGCACATATAGAAAGTAACACCCATTTTTTGTCAGTAATGGGTTCCATGTTAAAGGTCACCATGAAATGAACAGAGTTTAAACAAAGTCTAAAAAGATTCGAAACTCTTACTTACTCTTAGTTACTTATATTAAGAGAAAGAGAGGGAGTGATCAGTCATGGCACTTAGTTCAGATGATTTGTTATTGAAACTGTTAATTATCTTAGGATGGAACTTGTAATTGACTTTTCTGTTTTCTGATCGAATATTTTTTTAAATTATTGTACGATCATTATGTGTTTTGGTGTTCTGCATTACCATTTCAAATGTCTTGTTCTTTCCACTACATTCTACGAGTCGTTAAAAGTTTTATAAATACCTGTTTCATACTAAAACGTTTAATTTTTGTCTATTTGGAACCCTTACATTCATATCAGGGAGAAACTAAATCTACTTTATTTGTACAACGACATATTTTTACAAAATTTTAAACTACTAAAAAGTTTTAATCAAGAGAGCAATTTTTCAGATCTATAACATGTGCTCAGAAGTGCCATTTGACTCATAGTCTTAATTTTTATAGTAACTATCGTGAGACATACTGAATTGACTAAAAATTACGGTTCTCACACGTAAATATAGTTAGTTAGGAAAGCTCTACTAGTTTCCAGTTGAGGGAGGTTCTTCCTCATGAGCAGCGTCGCGGCGACGTTGCGTAGCCTACAGTAGGCTGCTAGTAAACTAACTAAATGTAATAGAGCTTTTCTCAGTTCAACCAAACATATATAACTTCCTGGCTCCGATGGACGTAGGCTGTGACTATGGAACGCCAATTGCTACGATGGTTACATATCTCTTTCGCTTTATCAACAGTCATCAGTCTTTTCATGCATGCTCGTTTATGTTTTTATAATAACTATCGTGAGACGTACTAAATTATGTAAAATCACTTGGTAAAAGCATGCGCGGGCGCGGCTAGGTCGCGCAGCTTACCCAGTGAGCTGTACGCTGCTCATGAGAAAGAACCCCTCTGTGGTTCGAAACTAGTAGTGCTTTACTCAGTATATTCACGTGAGTAACCCGCGATATTAGTTAATTCATGCTCGTTTACTCACATTTACGTGATTAAACCGTTTTTTATAGTTAATTCATAGTCCTAACTCTTGAGATTTTAAATGCATTACCTAAGTTTAGACTAACTTTTTGAGAGTACAGTCTTTCGGATTGAGACGTAGTTTATATATTTTATCGAGTTAACATTCAGCGTGGCCTAAAAGGGGAACATATCCTATTTTTGGTAGTTATTACCTCTACAAAACAAGAGGCTAGCTAACTTTACATCGGTTTCCAATGAAACATTTGTACTGGCCCGACTTACACTAGCTTTGAGATTTTAATACCGATAATTTTTCAGACAAATGTAAAGCCATGACGCGCCATTATGAATAAATTTCGAAAATAAATACAGAGATCAGTTTAGTATGACACTTGAGAAAACAAAAACCACATTTCTTTACACATTCAAAAGCAAACCGAATTTCATTAAAGTTTTCCAACCGCTAAAGAGCTTTAAGGTATACATTTTATAATTGTCTAACATATAGAATGAAAAGCTACATTCTTAAGCGTTAAAAATCCGCTTAAAGTCAATATTGCTCAATTTCAAACTCCCCTTATAAGCAATTGCGCGTATTTTCATTTTACTTGCAAACCAATGTTGTCACGACAGCATAAATACCTGCTCAAAGCTGATTGGTTACCGTTACATCCATATCATTCGATTGGTGGCTACAATGGACCAATCAGAACGTTGCTCTTGGTTCAAGCGTTACTGGATTCTAGTTCTACGCCTGGAACAGTAGTGCTTAAGTTACCGTTGACTAATATGTCTTGTAATGGCTGCCCCAACATGCCTGAGAGGGAGTGACTTAGCTTGTAGAAATTCGTCTCCAAAGCTTCGTGATACGACACCTGGTCGGAGCTGATCAGTTTCGCGTTGAGCTGTAATGCTGCGTGGCATACGGTTAGGAACTCTCTGTAATGAAAAAAGGAATTGTTATAGGACTTTCATAATGATTTGTAGGGGTAAAGTGTGCAATTATAAGTAATATTTACTTTTGTTTTAAAAATTAATTCCATTTTGGGCGAAAGCAATCACACAAAAATTATTTAATAAAACCACGAAAAAGAACTAGTATTAAAGTAAACAATTGAAGTTATAATTAAATGAACAAATATGTACAAATTTGTATCTGGTATTTCATTCCTGATACAACTGAATAAACAGCAATATACGAAAAACAGATTATGGTTATATTTAAATATTAAAATG